ACGTGTGGATGGGCACAAACAGAAGCGAGAAAGAGAAAAAATTTGACATAATTATAGGACGTGTGATAAACTATGAAGACTATATATAAAGATAGATATATGCATATAGATATTTTATGATATTGACTAAGAGACAATACAATTAGATTATTTTTGTAATACTCATTTCGTTTATTGCACAATAGACATTTGAATTTGTCTATATACACAGTGGGATATGCGGGATGAAAGGGATTCGCATAGATTATGAATGGAAATATAAAACAGAATTGAAATGCAGGCAATTGACAAACTTTCATTGAAAGTCCCAATATTGTGACTATGAATATGGCAACTCTATGTGGACATATTGACTGTGGCGATGCAATAATTCGTTGAAATAGATTTCGTTGTGGAGCTCTCTAGACGAGCGTATCGTAGGCTGAGACAATCGGCATCATGGGCGACATTTTCAGGCGTGGCGCGGCAATGGGTCTACGACTCCAGGGCCCCAGGCCCGTGGCAGTTGCATCCATGGCGCCGAGACGCGCCAGGCTGCTGATCTGCAGGGCCGTGGGCGTCTGAATGCGATGCGATGTGTATTTGAAATGCAATTGATGTGCATGGGAATTGGGCAGAGGGTAGCCTCTACGCGGACATGGGACAGGGAGATTGAACGACAACAAACGGGCGACAAGCGAAAATCGATAATAGAATTGAAAACAAAAGATTTGCATATTTACGAAACGTTTGAAATTGCATGCGATTCGTTTCAAATGGCGTCAACATCAGAGAAAGAGAAAGTAAAAATTGCATATATGATTTCACAGAAGTTAAAGGAGAGCTCCATATGGATAGAGTAGAGCGCTTTCGAATGAACCTACCTGTATTTGCCATAATCCGTTTTGGTCTCCACCAACGGCTTGCGTGGGCTGCTGTCCAAGCCCAAATTCGAAGGTCGCTGCGGCGTACCATTGCGTGGATCTGTCCAGAATATGAAAGGGTGAATATATAATAGGCTAATTATATATAGTATCATCATAGTCTTACCAATATTACGGGACGCATTCATATCGTGATAGAGCGGCCTGCCGGGACTACTTTGCCGATTCAGATCATTGGCCGCCGCAAAGGCGCGATGATCGTGCGGCGCGGAGCGACCATAGTCATGCGGCTGGCCCACAGCCGGCAAGGGGCGACCACTGAAATAATTAATGGAAATTGAATTTAAAATTAAATATAATAATAAGCTATGAAATTAAATACAGCAATAAGTATCAATAATTTTGTAGAAAAATATATATGCTAAAGTAGTAATTGTTTCCATAGTAACCCTATATTTTTAGGAATATATATTAT